AACAAAGATTATAACAAAGTAACTGTCAATAATTCATGATTACAGAATCTTCAGAAAACAGGATAAAACAGGAATGACAAATTCTCTTAATTTAAATATGTCTATCATATCATATTATTTATAAAAAAAATCATTTATTCGCATATTTACAAATGTAATATTTTATTATTATTATTTTTATTTTTAAACATTTTTCACAGAAAGAACGAAAGTGAGTGAGTGTGTTTGTGTGTGAGTGTGTGTGTGTGTGTGTGTGTGTGTGTGTGTGTGTGTGTGTGTGTGTGTGTGTGTGTGTGTGTGTGTGTGTGTGTGTGTGTGTGTGTGTGTGTGTGTGTGTGTGTGTGTGTGTGTGTAAGAGAGGGAGTGAGTGAGTAAACAATGACATGATCATATGGAGTTGTTTTTTACATTAGACCACTAGAGGGCGACACGCGTCTGAGAGACAGACAGCAGATCTTCTGCAGCTGATGCCACACACACACACACACACACACACACACACACGCACACACACACGATTAGGTTATAGTATTAATAGTGTATATCTAGCTTCCATTGGTTTATTCCTCCACTTCGATCAGCAGCTCTTGATTCCAGACCCTCAGCATGATCACGTGATCGGTGTGGTTAATGTGGGAACCCCTTTGTCCACATTCCATCACCGTGGTGAAGCTCATCAGCCAATCACAGAGCAGAAAAAAGAAACGCGTGAGCTCGACTGTGATTGGCCAGCGCGTCTGTTGCTGTTCAGAGGCAGCAGTGAGTATCCCTCCTCTGTCTGTGCTGATCCTCATGAGTTTATGGCATTGGCAACCCATAGAACCGTTTGAGGGAAATTTATGAAATTTGGCACACATATAGAAGACAGTCTCAACATTAACCACAGCAAATTTGGAGTCTCTAACTCAATCCCTCTAGCGCCACCAACTGTCCAAAGTTGCCCTACTTTTTATGCTAATAACTTTTGAACCAAACAAAATTCTCTATGCCTTTTTTCATGATGCCATTTTGAATATTTTCCTGCCATTTTTAATTTTACGAAAACCCTTTTTCTAAGTTCTCCTATTCCGTCGCCCTGATTTTCATGAAAATCGAATCAGTTCACCATGCCGACAAAAAGTTATGGAATTCAAGTTGATTCATCGAACCGTTCGCAAAAAAAATAACATGTGAACGAATTTGACGAAGATCACGCCAACGTGGATGTGAGGCGATATCTCTGCGACGCTCTAGTGTCTTCAGACCAAACTTGGTGTGTGTTATGACAACCATGACCTGGGGACACCTGCACAGTTTCAGCACAGCGCCACCTACTGGTCTGGAGATATGAAGAAAGGGCTATTTTTGCTTATAACTTCTGAACAGTTTGACCAAAAATCTTTAGATTTGGACAATATCTTATTTTCAGTTGAATAGATAGATAGATAGATAGATAGATAGATAGATAGATAGATAGATAGATAGATAGATAGATAGATAGATAGGTCGATAGGTCGATAGATAGATAGATAGATAGATAGATAGATAGATAGATAGATAGATAGGTCGATAGATAGATAGATAGATAGGTCGATAGATAGATAGATAGATAGATAGATAGATAGATAGATAGATAGATAGATAGATAGATAGATAGATAGATAGATAGATAGATAGATAGGTCGATAGGTCGATAGATAGATAGATAGATAGATAGATAGATAGATAGATAGATAGGTCGATAGGTCGATAGATAGATAGATAGATAGATAGATAGATAGATAGATAGATAGGTCGATAGATAGATAGATAGATAGATAGATAGATAGATAGATAGATAGATAGGTCGATAGATAGATAGATAGATAGATAGATAGATAGATAGATAGATAGATAGATAGATAGATAGATCGATAGATCGATAGATCGATAGATAGATAGATAGATAGGTCGATAGGTCGATAGATAGATAGATAGGTCGATAGGTCGATAGGTCGATAGATAGATAGATAGATAGATAGATAGATAGATAGATAGATAGATAGATAGATAGATAGATAGATAGATAGGTCGATAGGTCGATAGATAGATAGATAGATAGATAGATAGATAGATAGATAGATAGATAGATAGATAGGTCGATAGATAGATAGATAGATAGATAGATAGATAGATAGATAGATAGGTCGATAGATAGATAGATAGATAGATAGATAGATAGATAGATAGATAGATAGATAGATAGATAGATAGATAGATAGATAGATAGATAGATAGATAGATAGGTCGATAGATAGGTCGATAGATAGGTCGATAGAAAGATAGGTCGATAGATAGATAGATAGATAGATAGATAGATAGATAGATAGATAGATAGATAGATAGATAGATAGATAGATAGATAGATAGATAGGTCGATAGGTCGATAGACGGATAGATAGATAGATAGATAGATAGATAGATAGATAGATAGGTCGATAGATAGATAGATAGATAGATAGATAGATAGATAGATAGATAGATAGATAGATAGATAGATAGATAGATAGATAGATAGATAGGTCGATAGATAGATAGATAGATAGATAGATAGATAGATAGATAGATAGATAGATAGATAGATAGATAGATAGATAGATAGATAGATAGATAGATAGATAGATAGATAGATCGATAGATAGATAGATAGATAGGTCGATAGATAGATAGATAGATAGGTCGATAGGTCGATAGGTCGATAGATAGATAGATAGATAGATAGATAGATAGATAGATAGATAGATAGATAGATAGATAGATAGATAGATAGATAGATAGATAGATAGGTCGATAGGTCGATAGATAGATAGATAGATAGATAGATAGATAGATAGATAGATAGATAGATAGATAGGTCGATAGATAGATAGATAGATAGATAGATAGATAGATAGGTCGATAGATAGATAGATAGATAGATAGATAGATAGATAGATAGATAGATAGATAGATAGATAGATAGATAGATAGATAGATAGGTCGATAGATAGGTCGATAGATAGGTCGATAGATAGGTCGATAGATAGGTCGATAGATAGATAGGTCGATAGATAGATAGATAGATAGATAGATAGATAGATAGATAGATAGATAGATAGATAGATAGGTCGATAGGTCGATAGATAGATAGATAGATAGATAGATAGATAGATAGATAGATAGATAGATAGATAGATAGATAGATAGATAGGTCGATAGATAGATAGATAGATAGATAGATAGATAGATAGATAGATAGATAGATAGGTCGATAGATAGGTCGATAGATAGATAGGTCGATAGATAGGTCGATAGATAGATAGATAGCTCGATAGATAGACAGATAGATAGATAGATATCTATCTAGATAGATCGATAGATAGATAGATAGGTCGATAGATAGATAGATAGATAGGTTGATAGATAGATAGATAGGTCGATAGATAGGTCGATAGATAGATAGGTCGATAGATAGATAGATAGATAGATAGATAGATAGATAGATAGATAGATAGATAGATAGATAGGTCGATAGGTCGATAGATAGATAGATAGATAGATAGATAGATAGATAGGTCGATAGATAGATAGATAGATAGATAGATAGATAGATAGATAGATAGATAGATAGATAGATAGATAGAAAGATAGATAGGTCGATAGATAGATAGATAGATAGGTCGATAGATAGACAGATAGATAGATAGGTCGATAGGTCGATAGATAGATAGATAGATAGATAGATAGATAGATAGATAGATAGATAGATAGGTCGATAGATAGATAGATAGATAGATAGATAGATAGATAGATAGATAGATAGGTCGATAGGTCGATAGATAGATAGATAGATAGATAGATAGATAGATAGATAGATAGATAGATAGATAGATAGATAGATAGGTCGATAGATAGATAGATAGATAGGTCGATAGATAGATAGATAGGTCGATAGATAGACAGACAGATAGATAGATAGATAGATAGATAGATAGATAGATAGATAGATAGATAGATAGATAGATAGATAGATAGATAGATAGATAGATAGATAGGTCGATGGATAGATAGATAGGTCGATAGATAGATAGATAGATAGATAGATAGATAGATAGATAGGTCGATAGATAGATAGATAGATAGATAGATAGATAGATAGATAGATAGATAGATAGATAAAATAAATATGCAGACAAAATGTACAGCTAAAAATGATTTAGTATAGCCTAATTGTCATTATATATGTATAAATAGTGCAATATTTTAATGCACAACACATAGACAGACCGCAGTCTATGATATTGAACTTGATAATTCAGTAAATGTTATAAATATATAAATATCTGAGGATGATGTAAAGCAGGTTTGTTCGTGTGATGAGGTTCAGTCTTCTTGTGTTCAGAGATTCAGGGCGGGGCGACAGACGCTCGCGTCTCAAACCTCGCTTCGCTGCCTCGACAGTGAACAGTGTGTGCGCGTCACCGGGGATCAGAACCGAAGCCTAGACAGTGAACAGTGGAGGATTAGAGACGCGACCCGAGAGACACAAACCAGAGCATCAGAGCCTCCTCGCGTCTCCATCATTCCTCCGTCCCGCAGAACCGAACACACTCACCGATACCGAGCCGAACACACACACACACCGATACCGAGCCGAACACATACACATATACCGAGCCGAACACACACACCGATACAGGGAACACCGAGCCGAACACACACCGAGCCGAACACACACACACTGATACCGGGCACACCGAGCCGAACACACACGCCGAGCCGCACACCCGATCCCGGCAGATGGACGGAACACACGCGCTCTGACGGAGATCTTCACTCGTGGATGTTCGGCTCGGTTCGGAGGTTCGATCGCTCGCTATTGTTCGGATGTGCGACGCTGAGAATCAAAGAGTCCGATTGATTCCCTAGCGAACATGAATTATTCTGCTCTCCGGTGGGGTTCATCGCCGTGCTTCTTCATCTTCATCTTCATCATCATTCAGGTGCGTGTTTTCTTTTAATCTATAGGTATTAAATGAGCGGTTATATGGAGCGTTCATTATATACACACACACACACACACACGCGCGCGCGCGTCATTAAATCAGCTCGTGTCTGGCCAGATTCGAGTGTGTGTGTGTGTGTGTGTGTGTGTGTTTGTCGGAACTGATGAGTTACACGATCAGAATCTGCTACAATATTCCTGCAGGCGAATCTGGGTCACACAGATGTGTGTGTGTATGTGTGTGTGTGAAGCATCAGTCGGCTTTCACTCACGGTTCCTGCTGCACAGGAAATTAAACATTTATTCTATAAAATAACAATATAGTATATATAATAATTTTATTACGCATTTATTTGGATATTATTATTATGCTAATATTACGGTATTATGTTATTTTTATTGGGATATTAATAATATAATTATGCTATTTTATTGGGTTATTAATATAATGCTATTTTTATTTAGATATTATTGTATTTATTATTAAACAAGTGATATAGCTTTTTAAAAATGTTTTTAAAAGGCTTAAAGCTTATTTAGAGTCAGCATTTTTCAGTCAAAGTCTGCAGGAATTTTCCAGTCGATTTCAAAGGTGTGTGTGTGTGTGTGTGTGTGTGTGTGTGTGTGTGTGTGATTGGGAAAGATGAATAACCTGAACTGAGAGTCAGACATGACTCAGGATCAGTGGACATCACTTTATGACACGAGTTACACAGTTCAGCTCAGGCCTTCGGATCAGCATGGAGATTAATGAGGATCACAGTCTTCATCTCTTCACTCTTCATCTCTTCATCTCTTCATCTCTTCACTCTTCACTCTTCACTCTTCATCTCTTTACTCTTCACTCTTCATCTCTTCACTCTTCACTCTTCACTCTTCACTCTTCACTCTTCATCTCTTCATCTCTTCTGTCTTCATCTCTTCACTCTTCATCTCTTCACTCTTCACTCTTCACTCTTCACTCTTCACTCTTCACTCTTCACTCTTCACTCTTCATCTCTTCTCTCTTCACTCTTCACTCTTCACTCTTCATCTCTTCACTCTTCACTCTTCATCTCTTCACTCTTCACTCTTCATCTCTTCATCTCTTCTGTCTTCATCTCTTCACTCTTCATCTCTTCACTCTTCATCTCTTCACTCTTCTGTCTTCATCTCTTCTGTCTTCATCTCTTCTGTCTTCATCTCTTCTCTCTTCATCTCTTCTGTCTTCATCTCTTCACTCTTCACTCTTCATCTCTTCACTCTTCATCTCTTCACTCTTCATCTTTTCATCTCTTCTGTCTTCATCTCTTCACTCTTCACTCTTCATCTCTTCACTCTTCTGTCTTCATCTCTTCACTCTTCACTCTTCATCTCTTCACTCTTCTGTTTTCACTCTTCATCTCTTCATCTCTTCACTCTTCATCTCTTCACTCTTCACTCTTCTGTTTTCACTCTTCATCTCTTCTGTCTTCATCTCTTCACTCTTCATCTCTTCATCTCTTCTGTCTTCATCTCTTCACTCTTCACTCTTCATCTCTTCTGTCTTCATCTCTTCACTCTTCATCTCTTCACTCTTCATCTCTTCTGTCTTCATCTCTTCACTCTTCATCTCTTCATCTCTTCTGTCTTCATCTCTTCACTCTTCACTCTTCATCTCTTCTCTCTTCACTCTTCACTCTTCATCTCTTCACTCTTCACTCTTCACTCTTCACTCTTCATCTCTTCACTCTTCACTCTTCACTCTTCACTCTTCATCTCTTCTCTCTTCACTCTTCACTATTCACTCTTCATCTCTTCACTCTTCATCTCTTCACTCTTCTGTCTTCATCTCTTCACTCTTCACTCTTCATCTCTTCACTCTTCATCTCTTCACTCTTCTGTTTTCACTCTTCATCTCTTCACTCTTCATCTCTTCACTCTTCATCTCTTCACTCTTCACTCTTCTGTTTTCACTCTTCATCTCTTCACTCTTCATCTCTTCACTCTTCATCTCTTCACTCTTCACTCTTCATCTCTTCTCTCTTCACTCTTCACTCTTCATCTCTTCATCTCTTCACTCTTCACTCTTCATCTCTTCTCTCTTCACTCTTCACTCTTCATCTCTTCTCTCTTCACTCTTCACTCTTCACTCTTCATCTCTTCACTCTTCACTCTTCATCTCTTCACTCTTCACTCTTCATCTCTTCTCTCTTCATCTCTTCTGTCTTCATCTCTTCACTCTTCACTCTTCATCTCTTCACTCTTCATCTCTTCACTCTTCTGTCTTCATCTCTTCACTCTTCACTCTTCATCTCTTCATCTCTTCTGTCTTCATCTCTTCACTCTTCACTCTTCATCTCTTCACTCTTCATCTCTTCACTCTTCTGTCTTCATCTCTTCACTCTTCACTCTTCACTCTTCATCTCTTCACTCTTCTGTTTTCACTCTTCATCTCTTCATCTCTTCACTCTTCATCTCTTCACTCTTCACTCTTCTGTTTTCACTCTTCATCTCTTCACTCTTCATCTCTTCACTCTTCATCTCTTCACTCTTCTGTTTTCACTCTTCATCTCTTCACTCTTCATCTCTTCACTCTTCATCTCTTCATCTCTTCACTCTTCTGTTTTCACTCTTCATCTCTTCACTCTTCACTCTTCATCTCTTCACTCTTCACTCTTCATCTCTTCTCTCTTCACTCTTCACTCTTCACTCTTCATCTCTTCTCTCTTCACTCTTCACTCTTCATCTCTTCACTCTTCACTCTTCATCTCTTCACTCTTCACTCTTCACTCTTCATCTCTTCTCTCTTCACTCTTCTCTCTTCACTCTTCATCTCTTCACTCTTCTGTCTTCATCTCTTCACTCTTCACTCTTCACTCTTCACTCTTCACTCTTCATCTCTTCTCTCTTCACTCTTCACTCTTCACTCTTCACTCTTCATCTCTTCACTCTTCTCTCTTCATCTCTTCACTCTTCACTCTTCACTCTTCACTCTTCATCTCTTCTCTCTTCACTCTTCACTCTTCACTCTTCACTCTTCATCTCTTCACTCTTCATCTCTTCACTCTTCATCTCTTCACTCTTCATCTCTTCACTCTTCACTCTTCACTCTTCACTCCTCACTCTTCACTCTTCATCTCTTCATCTCTTCACTCTTCTGTCTTCATCTCTTCACTCTTCACTCTTCACTCTTCATCTCTTCACTCTTCACTCTTCATCTCTTCACTCTTCACTCTTCACTCTTCATCTCTTCACTCTTCATCTCTTCATCTCTTCACTCTTCACTCTTCACTCTTCACTCTTCACTCCTCACTCTTCACTCTTCATCTCTTCATCTCTTCACTCTTCTGTCTTCATCTCTTCACTCTTCACTCTTCACTCTTCATCTCTTCACTCTTCACTCTTCACTCTTCACTCTTCATCTCTTCACTCTTCATCTCTTCACTCTTCATCTCTTCACTCTTCACTCTTCACTCTTCACTCCTCACTCTTCACTCTTCATCTCTTCATCTCTTCACTCTTCTGTCTTCATCTCTTCACTCTTCACTCTTCATCTCTTCACTCTTCATCTCTTCACTCTTCACTCTTCTGTTTTCACTCTTCACTCTTCACTCTTCTGTTTTCACTCTTCACTCTTTACTCTTCTGTTTTCACTCTTCACTCTTCACTCTTCTGTTTTCACTCTTCATCTCTTCACTCTTCATCTCTTCACTCTTCATCTCTTCACTCTTCACTCTTCTGTTTTCACTCTTCATCTCTTCACTCTTCATCTCTTCACTCTTCATCTCTTCATCTCTTCACTCTTCTGTTTTCACTCTTCATCTCTTCACTCTTCATCTCTTCACTCTTCATCTCTTCACTCTTCACTCTTCTGTTTTCACTCTTCACTCTTCACTCTTCATCTCTTCTCTCTTCACTCTTCACTCTTCACTCTTCACTCTTCACTCTTCATCTCTTCATCTCTTCATCTCTTCACTCTTCATCTCTTCACTCTTCATCTCTTCACTCTTTACTCCTCACTCTTCACTCTTCATCTCTTCATCTCTTCACTCTTCACTCTTCACTCTTCATCTCTTCACTCTTCATCTCTTCACTCTTCACTCTTCACTCTTCACTCTTCATCTCTTCACTCTTCATCTCTTCACTCTTCATCTCTTCACTCTTCACTCTTCACTCCTCACTCTTCACTCTTCATCTCTTCATCTCTTCACTCTTCTGTCTTCATCTCTTCACTCTTCACTCTTCACTCTTCTGTTTTCACTCTTCACTCTTCACTCTTCATCTCTTCTCTCTTCACTCTTCACTCTTCACTCTTCACTCTTCACTCTTCACTCTTCATCTCTTCACTCTTCATCTCTTCACTCTTCACTCCTCACTCTTCACTCTTCATCTCTTCATCTCTTCACTCTTCACTCTTCACTCTTCATCTCTTCACTCTTCATCTCTTCACTCTTCACTCTTCACTCTTCACTCTTCATCTCTTCACTCTTCATCTCTTCACTCTTCATCTCTTCACTCTTCACTCTTCACTCCTCACTCTTCACTCTTCATCTCTTCATCTCTTCACTCTTCTGTCTTCATCTCTTCACTCTTCACTCTTCACTCTTCACTCTTCACTCTTCATCTCTTCACTCTTCATCTCTTCACTCTTCACTCTTCACTCTTCACTCTTCATCTCTTCACTCTTCATCTCTTCACTCTTCATCTCTTCACTCTTCATCTCTTCACTCTTCATCTCTTCACTCTTCACTCTTCATCTCTTCACTCTTCACTCTTCACTCTTCATCTCTTCATCTCTTCATCTCTTCTGTCTTCATCTCTTCACTCTTCACTCTTCACTCTTCATCTCTTCACTCTTCATCTCTTCATCTCTTCACTCTTCACTCTTCACTCTTCACTCCTCACTCTTCACTCTTCACTCTTCACTCTTCACTCTTCATCTCTTCACTCTTCATCTCTTCACTCTTCTGTCTTCATCTCTTCACTCTTCACTCTTCACTCTTCATCTCTTCACTCTTCATCTCTTCACTCTTCACT